GGGGGGTGCTGCTGCCGCTGCTCCGCAGCTGCCCAGGCTGGCGGTGCGGCAAGGCAGCCCATTAGGCAGCGACCAAAGGGTCGACATGCAGTCAATGTTTGCGTCACCTGGTGGTTCATTAGGCGCGATGCGATCTCCTTCGCACTGTCTTGCCCAGAACCAGTTCCTCTCGCACCGCATACATCTGGGTCGGAAGGGCCAGACCTATGCGATGACAGCTGGCCGCCACAGCAGCAACGCATCTCGCAGCAAGCCGAGCCCGTGGATGAACGCCTCTATCTGCGCTGCAGTTGAGATCCAGGCCCACGTGGAGCGACGCAAGTGGCCCCTGCATGCTGACTGCAGGCAGCCGCAATTGTGTGCAGCGCACTTGCATGGCTCAGCAATGTTGAAGCGGCTGCAAATGCGCTCGAGACAGGTCTCCGCGTACATCGGCGTTCCCAATGTGTGTCAGTCCAGTCAGCTCTGCTCGCATGCTTACAGCTACTCATACTCCTGCAGGTTATGCAAGGCGCGATCTCAAGCCTCAAGGAGCTCTGAAGGGCAAGACTTCAGCCAAACTCGAGAGTTGCATGCCTTGAGAGACGTGCATTGGTGGCAGGATGGGCACACATCTACATTGCCTGCTGAAAAATTGTCTCACGGGTACTACTGGAGCTGATGGAGGGTCCATCGCCATGTGCAACATACAGACAACACACACAGCGCTGCACGACGGTATGGGGACTGCCTTGAGATGCGGCAAATACAGATACAGTGGCACAGCCCGACACACAGAAGCCCAGGCATGCGCACCGCATCAGACGCAAACTCAATAAACCGCAGACAAACAAGCCATACGCCCTGCGTACAGCACCCTGCATAACGACCAAACTGTACCAGTCCAACACCTGGTTTTGCAAAAGAATGTGTCTGAATTTCTGCAGCGAGAATCAACCCCAGGGCCACCAACCACCGGCACGCCGTCACTCACCCAACCTGCAATACCCAACTATCAGCTCTACGCTCTGGACACGCCCGAGCTGTTGGGCAGGATTTCCATAGCCACCTCTTTCAAGGTGGGGCGCGAGTCACCCGTCCATACCACCACAAAGTCAGAGTCGTCCACGGGGTTGCGCCGGAGCACCTGGTTGATGTGCGAGAGAAGATCATGCGTGTGTGTATGTGTGCGTGTGTGCATGTGTGTGTGTGTGTGTGTGCATACGTGTGTGCGTGCACGTGTGAGTGTGTGTGTGCACGCGCGCGCACGTGTGCGCGCATGTGCTTGTGCGTGCGTCGTGCGCGCGCTTGTATATGTTTAGGTGGGTGAGTGTGTACGAGAGTGTGAGTCGAGGTGAGAGGAGGGTAGAGGTTGGCTCAGAAGACTGCAGACAGCTTGCAGTTCAAAGATGGGCAAGCCGCCCTGGCCGCCTGCCTGCCCGGTGATATGCTGACCTGCCAGGGTCCTGGGTACGCCCTGAACAGCACGCCCGGGCGCGTGCCCTTGAAGTTGCGTATGTAGTAGGCGGCCTCGAACTGTGCAGGGAGAGGCGTGTGTGTGTGTGCGTGTGTGTGTGTGTGTGTGTGTGTGTGTATGTGTGTGTGTGTGTGTGAGGGAGAGAGAGAGAGAGAGAGAGAGAGAGAGAGAGAGAGAGAGAGTGTGTGTGTGTGTG